ACCCCAGAAATGTAAATTAAAAGCATAAATGCATGCCAGTAGAATTCAGAAGACTTACTATTGCATAAAATCAATACAAAATCACTACCAACTCAGTAGGATACACTGCTAATTGTTGGATACTGAAATTTTGTATTCTTTCTACTAATGTTGACCACTCACCATCACTAGTCTGTCATTTTGTCATATTCTGGTGGTTTGCATGTTACTGGGATGCTGGAAGCTATGCCATAGATATTTGAAATACCAGTTGGGTCACCCATTGTGGACAGGTTTCAGCAGAACTCCAGACTAAAAGAAAGACCTGGAAACCTATACAAAAAATTGGCCACTGAAAACTTAATCAATAGCAGTGGAACATTGCCTGATACAGTGCCAGAAGATGAGCCTTTCAGTTGGAAGGCACTCAAAACCTGACTGGAGAATAGTTGCCTCCTCAAAGTAGAGACCTTAATGATGTTGTGGCTGGAATAAAACTTCTGAGACATTCCTTTGTTACATGTCATAACTCAAAGGGAAAAGAAACAGCTGCAAATGTACATTAATAATCAGAATGTGGAATGTACAAAGTATGCATCTAGAAAAATTAGAAAATATGAAAAATGAAATGGGATGCTTAAAGATTTCTATCCTAGGGTTTAGTGAGCTAAAATGGACTAGTGTTGGACATTTTGAATCAGGCAGTCATATATTCTACTGTGCCATTATATGACAAATTGAAGAGGAAGAGTCACATTCATTGTCAAAAAGAATATTTCAAGATCTAGCTGAAGAACAATGTGGTCAGTAATAGGAGAATATCCATATGCCTATAAGAAAGACCATTTGATACAACTATTGTTCAAAATTTTGTACCAACTTCTATGTCAAAGATGAAGAAAATTGAGATTTTTTTTTTATTATTAAGTTATGCAATCTGAAATTGTTCAAATATGTACTCAAGATGCATTGGTAATTGGTAATGATCCAAATGTTAAAGTCAGAAACAAATAAGAAAGATCAGTTGTTGGAAAATATAGCCTTGGTGATAGAAATGATGCTAGAGGTTATATGATAGAAGTTGCAAGAGCGACATCCTATTGGAAATACCTTTCCAGCAACATAAATGGTGACGCTAAACACAAATTTCACCAGGTGGACTACTCAGGAATAAAATCAACTACATCTGTGGACAGAGACGATGGAGAAACTAAGTATCATCAGTCAGAACAAGACCATGGGCTGTCTGTGAAACATACCACTAATTGTTCATATGCAAATTCAACTTGAAACTAAAGAAAATTAAAACAAGTCCATGAACACCAAAGTATGACCTTGAATATATTGCACTTAATTTAGAGACCATCTCAAGAACAGATTTGACAAATTGAACAGTAATGCACAAAGATTTGCAAGTTGTGGAATGGCATCAAGGATATCATACATGAAGAAAGCAAAAGTTCATTAAAAAAAAAAAAAAAAAGGAAAGAAATAAAACGAATGCCAGAAGAGACTCTGAAAGTTGTTCCTGAACCTAAAGTGGATAAATGGCATGTAAGAAATAATGAAGTAATAGAATTCTATGAGCAAAACATTGAATAACTCAGGAAGCAGCAAAAGATGGAAGGAATACACAAAGTCACTGTACCAAAAATAATTAATCAACATTCAACCACTTCAGGAAGTAGCATATGATCAAAAAGTGATGATATTGAGGGAAGAAGCAGCACTAAGGTATGGCAAAAATCAAGGCTCTAGAAATTAACAAAATACTAATTTTTATTTCAAAAAATTTATGTAGTGCTGTAAGTTCTCAGTGGTCTATGCAAAGAAATTTGGAAGACAGCTACTTGACAAACTAACTGGAAGAGATTCATATGTATGTCCATTTCAAAAAAAGGGGATCCAGTGAAATACAGGAATTATCCAACAGTATCATTAATACACAAATAAAATTTTACTGAAGATTTTTCTAAAAGGCTTCTGTACTACATCAGCAGGGAACTGCCAGAAATTCAAATAGGATTCAGAAGAGGTGTGGAATGAGTGCTACTACTGCTGATGTCAAATGTATTTTGGTTGAAAGCAGAGAATATAATAAAGATGTTTATCTGTATATTACTGATTATGCTGTGTGGATCATAACACATTATAGATAACATTGCCAAGAATGGCAATTCCACTGCAATTAAATGTACACAGAATCTGTACATAGAACAAGAGGCAGTCATTTGAACAGACAAGAGAATACCACATGGTTAAAATAAAGAAAGGTATGTGTCAATGTTCATCCTTTCACCATACTTACCTAATCTGTAAAGGAGCTCTGGTAGCGTAGAGGTTATGAATCGGGCTGCTAACTGCAAGATCAGCAGTCCCAAACTACCAGCTGTTCCGTGGGAGAAAGATGAGGTTTTCTGCTCCCATAAAGGTTTACAGCCTCAGAAACCCTGTACAGGATCACTATGAGTCGGAACCGACTCCACAGCACATAACCACCACCACCACCTAATCTGTATGCTGACCTGGAAGCTGGAGCATATGAAGAAGAGCATGGCTTCAGGATTGGAGGAAGACTCATTAACAACCTGAAATATGCAGATGACACAACTTTGCTTGCTGAAAGCAAAGAAGACTTGGAGTATTTACGAATGAAGATCAAAGAAGACTCATTAATAACCTGCATACTGCAGATGACACAACTTTGCTTGCTGAAAGCAAAGAGAACTTGAAGCACTTACTGATGAAGATCAAAGACTACAGCCCTCATTATAAAAAACTAAAATCCTCACAACTGGACCAATAAGCAACATAATGACAAATGGAGAAAGGATTGATGTTGTCAAGGATTTAATTTTACTTGGATCCACAATCAATGCTCATGAAAGCATTAGGAAAATCTGCTGCAAAAGACCTCTTTAAAGTCTTAAAAAGCAAGGTATCACTTTGAGGACTAAGGTGCACCTGACCCAAGTCATGGTATTTCCAACTGCCTAATATGCTAGACAGAGGGCCCTGGTAGTGTAGTGGGTTATGAGTTGGGCTGCTAACTGCAAGGTCAGCAGTTGAATCTACAAACAGTTCTGCAAGAGAAAGATGAGGCTTTCTGCTCCTGTAAAGATTTGCAGCCTCAGAAACCCAATACAGGGTTGTTATGAGTGGGAACTGACTCAGTGGCACACAACCACCAAAATGCTGGACAATATATCAAACAGAAGAATTGATGCATTTGAATTATGGTATTGATGAAGAATATTGACTGTATCACTGACTACCAGAAGAAAAAGCAAATCTCTTTTGGCAGAAGTAGAGCCAGAATGCTCCTTAGAGTAAAATCTGGGGAGACTTCATCTCTCATACTTTTGACATGCTATCAGGAGAGACCAGTCTGTTAAGGACGTTATAGTTGGTAAAGCAGAGGGTCAGCAAACAAGAAGACACTCGAAGAGGTGGATTGACCCCGTGATTGCAGCAACATGCTGAAATATAGCAATGATTATGAGGCTGGCAGTGATTCATTCTGTTGTATCTAGGGTTGCTATAAGTTAGAACCAGCTCAGCTGCATCTAAAAACAGCAGTGTTGACTGTATGCTCTCCCTTGCTATGGCCTGGAGTTTTCATTCCTACATGTATACTCAACAGAAAGGTGTATATCTAAATTAAAAGGTGCCATGAATTTCAGAAGAGAGAGAGAAAGCATGAGTCAGACAAATTTTAAAAAATAAATTATGGCTGACAATTTCCCAGTTTTTCTTGAAATAAAATTACAGATTTAAATACATCTTGATTATCATTTCATCTCACCTAATCCTCTCAAATTACAAAAGCAAATGTTTTTCAACCTGAGGTCACTAATGCAACTAGAAAATAGATTTGCTTTTGTTGTTAAGTGGCAACAACTTGGCTGCTAATCATGGTGGACTTATGTATAACAGCACAAAACATTTCCAGGTCCTGAACCATCCTCAATCATTGCTATATTTGAACCAATTTTTTGCAGCCACAGTGTAAATTTTTCATATTTTGAGTGGCTTCCATCCTGAAGAACTTACCTTCCAGCACTTTGCTGGACAGTATTTTGGTGTTATCCATAAGATTTCATTTACTAATTTGGAACCAGATTGCCAAGCTTTTTTCTTAGTATGAAAGGTGAATTGATTGTTTTCTGAATCCCAGCAAATTACTTCTGCCTCTATCCTCCAGCTTCATGATGATTTGCATATGAAAAAGATTGCACAAACCATCCTCTACCTAAGGACTTTTGATTAAACTGGGATCTAGCTTAGTGGTTATGAATCGGGCTGCAGTTTATGAGATTACATGGTCAGCAGTTCGAAACTACCAGCTGTTCCATGGGAGAGAGATGAGGCTTTCTGCTCCTATAAAGATTTACAGTCTCAGAAACCCTGTACAGGGTCGCTATGAGTCAGAACTGACTCCACGACACATAACAACAACAACATATAGAGTAGGTACCCACACATAGGAATACTTGTTATAAACTTGAAACAGACTTTTGATGGATAAACAGATTTGGATCCAGGCAGGTTTAAATTTGTTGCCAAACATATCAATGCTGTGCTCCTTCCCAGGGATGCTTCCCAATCTAAGGCAAAAACAAAACAAAACAACCAAGGCATAGGAGGGGCAACTGTTTTGACCTTTCACAGACCAGCAGGAACTCGAATAGGACCAAATGATATCACATGATTAGAAATGATACTGATGAAGATTGTTGTTTTCCTCATTTCTGGAAAAGGTTCTAAAATAGTATCAGCAATTAATTAAAAGGTTAAAAGACTAATTGTCAGAAGCTTCAAAATTCTTAGGGAACAACTTCTTCCTTGGGCCATTTCCTCAAGAACCATGGAAATAACATAAGCAATAACAAGGAAAAGTTCTGCTCATTGGTCTCTTCTCTGGGGGGTCCAATGTATAAAAGCACCAGAATAGAAAGAGTTCTCAGAATCTGAGAAACTTACCTCTGAACAGAAAAAGCCCATCTTCCATACCTGACACCATGGCCCAATCCTGCTGCTCCCCTTGCTGCCAGCCCACCTGCTGCAGGACCACCTGCTGCCAGCCTTGCTGCCGCCCTACTTGCTGTCAAACCACCTGCTGCACCACTTGCTACCAACCAGCTTGTGGGACCAGCTGTTGCCGTCCTTCCTGTTGCAGCACACCCTGCTGCCGTCCAACCTGCTGCGTGTCCAGCT